ATGAGAAATGTACGATAATGATAAAACTATCAAAGAACGTGACTAACAGAGTGAATTAATCGGCATTTATATAATCCGACGGCAAACTTGAAAGGCCCAAGCGAAATTTTTCTAAACTTTACAAAACCGTGCAGCAGTGTGATATTTCTTTCCTCGCAGTTTTTAAATTATATACTGAGATGAGTTAAGGTTGCTTTTGTTGGGGAGTTAGTGTCAGTTTTTAAATAGCTGGACAACTTTTCTCATTTTGTCTCGATTGGTCAAAGTTTCATTAATCTCCGCGCGTGTTGACTGGAGCTATGAAGCAAATCGATTTATCTAGTAGCGTCAACTGGTAACCAATTCACACAAACCTGACGACTGCAAGTTGATAGATCGATTGCCACGTGAAAATATCTGAAAATAGTAACAGTATGTGTAGATGACGCGGGAACCGTTTAAACGTAAGAAGTATTTCACGAAAAGGAAGGGCCACCAAAGTGATGGCAAAGATTTAGAAAACCTGGAAATAGTATTAAATAGTATTAAACTGTATTAACATCTTCGTATGTGCATCGAATGCGCTCATTTTCATAACGATTATAACGTAAATAAAATGCGCGTAAATCTCAGGTATGCGAATTTGTCAAGTAATCTGAGTGTGCTCGAGTCCATTGAGAACTAACCTCGCGTCAGTGGCTCACGATGATAAATGCACCGAAAATTGCACGAAGTTCCGTCGATTTACTTGGTTGAGTGTAATAATCAGGACAAGCAGTTGTACTCGTCGGGGTTCGGACATGAAAATAACGTAATGGCAAATAACTTCGAAACCTCGTCGTAGAACAAAATGTTCCTGTGCAAAAACTTTCTTAATTAAAAATCTTTTTAAGCAAGGTCTTGCGCAAACATTGAAAGTTGAAAATACTCAGCATGAAACATGCATCAGAGTCCCAATGGTCTCACCTCCTAGTTTGGCAATTATTGCTATCAATGTAGTCGGCAGAGTCAGGTGAATTAATACATTTCTCTAGGATCTTTTCCCACATTTACAATCGACAGTGATTGTCTCTCCACAAGTTGTAGTCCTCATTTCTGGAACGTATGACCGGACATAATTGTTGTGACAAGCTACACGACTGGATGGGTAGCAATCGACCATGAGTTTTACCTCCTCGTATACAAGCTTCAGTCACCTTAATCTGACACAAGACGAATGTGTTTTAAACAACTCGCTAAGCCGAATATATTTTGAAATCCTGGCTCTTTATCGCCCGTTCTCCTGGGAAGATCTTCGTCCACTTGCTCGTCACCTAAGGCGTCATCGGGAACACAGGTTAACAGTAACTCGTCGTTACTTATATCTCCCGTTACCATGGTAACTTGAAGAACAAGGGAAATCAGAACCACCTGTCTCGGTCAAGGTAAGTGCGCTTATGAGAATTAAAAATGACAAAGAAAGAATTTATTGTATAGGATTGATTGTTGTTGCAATTTGTTTTCAACCGAAAATGTGCACAGAAGTCAACAATAGTTCCAGGAGTTTTGTAATTAGGTTTTTTTTAGGAATTTCGTCCATAGATTAAGCCTAGCATTTTAGTGCCTGACAGTTTAAAAATTGCCATTAATTAACATAAATATGTAAAGCGAAAAGACTGGTCCATCTTTATCTTTAAACTTCAAATCTAAACTTGTTATAACAACAAGAGTGTGAGGGACTCGTTTTTTATTCAATGAAATTGTTGCGAAGCCCCTATAAACTGCATACAAAAAAGTTCCTTTTTTTTAGCCTTCGTATATGTGCCCCAGACTTTGAACGATTTCCCTATACAATGACGACTGAAAAACCTACAAAAATGAAAAAATTAACAAGTAGAGGGCAAATAGTTGATACTTACTTGAGCTAAGAAGCGAAGCATTTTGATCTTACGTTTTCTCGTTTCCTCACAGTTGTCTTTTCCATCGGCCGAAGGACACAGTTCAGTTGCGTTTACCTTCCTTTTAATATTTGTTTGGAGTAAAACCAGGTGGTTCTTAAGGACTTTTGTTCTCACATTCTAGAGAAGCTTTTCACAGAGCAACTCTTCAGGGTTACTTAGGATTGCGAAAGCGTGATCACAGATGATGATATCTTGGCCTTTCATAGCTTAAATTCAGCTTTTCTAAAAGCAAAAGTTTTTCTTGTCGATTTAAGGAAGTTCGAAGTGCTAAATTAACTTGTGAGTACAGATGGTTAAGAGTGACATACTTGATTCTATTGGTAAATATGACAATAACTAAAATTTGCCGAGTAAATTCTAGTAATTTTGTTTCTCGCTGAAACATTCTATCGATTCAAATTAATCGCTACTTCCTTTTCAGGTCAGTCGATTTGCTTTTTTTTCTGTCTCTAAACTTAGTGGAAGCCATGATGCATTAGTTCCCACATTTGTGGGTAATTTACACGCTTAAAGGATCCTATTTAAAATGTCATGGTAGCCACGTCAGTTGCACGAAAGATGGTAAGGCTCTTTTTTTTGAAGCAGTTGTTTTCAATGAGGTAAAAAGTGCTAGTCTCTTAGCGTACAAGAGGTTTCCATATTTATTCTAAATGTAACTTCGACAGTTTCTGTGTGTGTAAACTCATATTTAATCTAAACGGTGTAAGTGGAAAGTTTTAAAAGACCGGTTCCCTTCTTTGGAAGTGTGAATCTTAGTGAAAGATGCAGGCGTTAATTGGGCTAAAAAATAGCATATCAGTGCATAGCTTATACACCAATGAGGTCAAAGATTACCTCAAACCCGCGAGTATATCTCTAATTTCATCCAACATCTTAAAAACAACGCCAATTCATGTGTTTGCTCAAATGCGTTCGATTAAAGATCGTTTGCATAATTCTGAAAATTGATCAAGATCTCCATTTGATTGTTCAAACTTCGTTTGTTTATCTTCTAAGTTGAGGATTTTAGGTTTCCGTAACAACTGAATGGAGAACAGATGCCGAGTTGTCCTAAAGCGTTGTCTAAAGGTGATCGATCGTAATGCTTGCGCGCTTTCGTGACTTACAAAGTTAACGAAGGTGATCGGAAGGCATGAACTACGCACAGTGATGAAGGGATTTTACAAACGCCGACGACTATTAGCGA